ATCTATCTATCTATCTATCTATCTATCTATCTATCTATCTATCTATCTATCTGTCTATCTATCTATCTATCTATCTATCTGTCTATCTATCTGTCTATCTATCTATCGATCTATCTATCTATCTATCTATCTATCTATCTATCTCTTTCTCCATCCATCCATATCCATCCGTCTATCCATCTAACTATCTTTCTGTCCGCCGTCTAATCGCGGGTGGTTGGAGGGCGCCACTGGTTGGTCTTACTTCTTTACTTTTTTTCAGTTGTTTCTGTCAGTCTGCCTGTCTTACTTTTTCCCAGCACTAAATGACCATCATTGTGTCGATGGGCTTCTCTTTACTGAAACAAAGCCGTCTAATGATTCGCTGATATTCTGTGTGTCTTCAACAGTCCAGTGTCTGCGAGAGCGCCCTGTGTGTCCCCGGAAAGCAGCTAGAAGCCAGTGGCCAGTGTTCTTCAGCCGTGCCTCAAATCAGACGTCTCGGCTACAAGGTGGCAGTCACTCTGGCACCAGACGACAGATTCAATTTAACCGTCAGCGTCTTAAGTCACATGCTCTTTAAAATGTTAAACAAATTATACTCTTCAGTCACTGAACATGAAACACAAATTAATTTCACACTTTATGTCAAATCATGCGAGGATCATGAAGCTAATGAAGTTTCAATCCTGAAATCTGTCAGTTTCACTTCGTATGTCATTGATAGCGGTAAAATGAGCAGAGACGATACTGAGAAAAATATGCTAGATGTGGTAAATAAACCGTGGAATGTGCACGTTGATTATCGGAATGAAACGTTTTTTACGCTCAAGCCAAAGATTGTAGGCTATAGTCTCCATGACCGCCTGTCTCATTCTGTGCCTCACAACTGTAGCCCCGTAAATATTTCACTTTCCAAGCATGTGTTCCGATTTCAGCCAGAAGATGATGACTGGCAATCTAATTTTTCATCGACAATCACACCTGAAGTAATCTCTAGTTTCCCTCTCGGTTTGCCGCAAGGCTACTCGGAAGAAAAAATTCGCGTTCTCACATTTGATTTATATAGTATTTCAAAGCGTCTGAACAGCCAATGGTCCACAAAGGACGCTTTTATTGACATTACCAGTGCAATCTTTTGCCCGTTTGTAGAAGTTCGTGTTCTAGAGACCTTAGTTCAAACCATAGAGCAGATCACTTTCCGAATTCAGTTCGAAGACAGGGTGATCAATGTCCTTTATGAAAAGGAAAGTGTCACATACGTGGACGAAGACACGATCCACATTTGTGTTGACAGGTTCAAAGAGCTCATCAAACTTCCCAAGACACGCGCAAGTTTCTACGAGACAACCGAGAGAGTCCATTACTATTTTGAAGTGTCCTGCTTCAGCGTGTCCACGGCTTGCCTCATTCTGACGTTGTTGACGTACTGTCTGTTCCCTGGTCTCCGCTCTGTCCCCGGCAAAAACAACATGGCTCTTTGCCTCTCCCTGGCCCTCGCCCAGATCTCTCTCCTTGTCTCTGTTGAGCTCGGGGCTCGCGGATGGCTCCCTTCTATCGCGTGCGCGACCAACGCCCTACTGCTGCACTTGTCCTGGCTCTCCGCCTTCGCCTGGATGAGTGTGTGTTGTTTCCACATGTACCGTGTGTTCAGTTCCTCCAGCGCTCCCTCCCACATCTCTGCACACTCCAACAAGCGACGCTATCGATACTACTTCCTGATCGCCCACGGTTCCTCCTGTCTGCTGGTTCTCGCTACAGTTCTTGTCCACTTGTCTTTGTCGGGCGGACGCTCCTTCGGCTACGACACGGTCACGTGTTTTCTGGACACTTCCGGTTCCGGTGTGTCGTTTGTGTTGTCCCTGCTGGTGCCTCTGTGTGCCATGATCGTGTGTAACACCGTCCTGTTCTCACTGACCGTGTGGCACATTGTGCAAGTCACTCGTCTGCAGCAGCACAGCCGTGTGTCCGACAGGCGGAGGGTCATGACCTACGTCAAGTTGTCCACTGTCACCGGACTCTTCTGGGCTCTGGCCATCTTGTCCGTGCGGCTGGACTACACTGCCCTCAACTTTCTCACTTCGGTTCTCGTCGCTTTGCAAGGCCTGTACATTTTTCTTTCCTTCACTGTCAACAGGGCAGTTGGTTCGCTCTATAAGGAACTGATATGGCCAAAACGTGCTAAAGATATCAGTTCTAGACATAACGATCCTAGTGGCTCCACGTCACAGCAACGACAAATGACGGAGTCGACGAGCAATATTTATACAGTGTCCCAATACGTTAGCAGTGAGGGTAAAGAGGCGAGCACGGACATCAGTGAAACACAGTTAAGCCACCCCTTTACGCGAAAGTTCCAGTAATTCTGATTAAAAGTTTAACCCTCCCAAAAAATATCGAGGCCTATGAAGCCGGCCGCAATTTCCTTCTGTGGTGTCATGGTCGATTTAGTCAGCCGTAATTTGAGTTATAATTTTGTTTCGTCTATCCCACCTTTTACATTGCAAAACATTTCAAAACATTCACAGTGAGCTCTACTTCCTATTTACATTCTACTTTAGGAAAATTAATATATTAGGTTTTTGGTCTTTACCTGCTTGGTTTTCGTTTTCTCAGGCATTTTTCAACAAAACATGGTGAAATCGTGCAATCTCCTCTGATACCACTGGCTTTATGTCAGCGACGTTTGGAGGGTTAAAATGTGTTCTACTTGCCCATTGACTTACACAGTTTAGATTGTTCTGGTTTGTTCCGACCCTGTCTGTCAGGGACCACCTGGCCTGAGAGAGACACTCAGTCCTAGAAGACAGACTGAGAAAGACACTCAGTCCTAGAAGACAGACTGAGAAAGACACACAGTCATAGAAGATAGACTTAGATAGATCCACTGTCCTAGACATACAGTCATGGAAGACAGACTTAGATAGATCCACTGTCCTAGACATACAGTCATGGAAGACAGACTTAGATAGATCCACTGTCCTAGACATACAGTCATGGAAGACAGACTTAGATAGATCCACTGTCCTAGACATACAGTCATGGAAGACAGACTTAGATAGATCCACTGTCCTAGACATACAGTCATGGAAGACAGACTTAGATAGATCCACTGTCCTAGACATACAGTCATGGAAGACAGACTTAGATAGACACACATTCCTAGAAGACAGACATAGATAGACACACATTCCTAGAAGACAGACTGAGATAGACACATTCCTAGAAGACAGACATAGATAGACACACATTCCTAGAAGACAGACATAGATAGACACACATTCCTAGAAGACAGACTGAGATAGACACATTCCTAGAAGACAGACAGAGATAAACACACATTCCTAGAAGACAGAGTGAGAAAGACACACAGTCGTAGAAGACAGACTAGATAGACACAGTCCTAGAAGACACACTGAGAAAGACACAGAGTCCTGGAAGACAGATTAGGACAGACACAAAGTCCTAGAAGACTGATTAAGATAGACGCACAGTCCTAGAAGACAGACTGGGATAGACACAAAGTCCTAGAAGAAAGACTAAGGTACCCAATGAACTGACTTCCCCACACGGCATTCAAACTCACGTCTCATGCGCGTAAAGGTCAAAACCCAAACATTGACCACGACTAAAAATAAAATAAAATAAAAACAAACCATAAACGAAAGAAAGAAAAAACCAACAACAGAAAAAACACACACAAAAACTCTCACCCCCCCCCCCCCTCCCCCGCTCCCACCCAAAGAACATCTCAAAAAACACAAAAAACCCCACAAAACACCCCCCCCCCCCCTTAAAAAAAGAAACCAACATCCATCAACCAACCAAATAAAGAAAAAACAAACAAACAAACAAAACAAGCAACACTACTATTCTTAAAATGTATCATTAATAAGATTGTTTTTGTTTTGCATACCTTTAGAATACTTTGTGCTCAAAAACAAAATGTGTGTGGATTATAATTACCTTAATATACATGTATATTGGTAAATATTGTTATTATGTGTATTGGTAAATATTGTCATTCCTTTTCCTTTCAGCGAATATTTTTGTGTCAGGACACGGTGGAATCATGCGCTCGTCAAAGTTTGGGCCTATGGAGTTATGGTATCATCTTTAAGATTGTTCATTAATTGTCTTGAGTTTCATGGAAAAATGCCCATCCATCTTGAATGGAAGTCGATATATTAGCGATTAAAGGAGGTGGGGATCCCCTGGCGTCAGAGGCAAGAAAATGACCGCCTAAGTCAGGTGACATCCAAAGCTTTTGTGCCCTTGAAAACTGCAATTTTATTTTACATTTTTTGCGTGCCTTTGATCAGCGCTTTTCAGTAAAATCTACACAGATATATGTGATTTTAAACGGACATAAAAGATTTTGAGGGTTTTTTTAAAATACTAAAAATGGCCCAAATTTGATTTCACCATTTTGACGAGCGATTGTTTTCACCATGATATCTCAGATTATGTGTCCTGGCGTTTACTATGTATGTCACAAAATTATACAGCTCTCAGATCTTGTTTTCTACAGGATAGAGCGCTCTTCTTCTTCTTCTTCTTTTTCTTCTTCTTCTTCTTTTTCTTCTTCTACTTCTTCTTTTTCTTCTTCTTCTTCTTCTTCTTCTTCTTCTTCTTCTTCTTCTTCTTCTTCTTCGTTAATTTGGATTGTAGGTACGGGGAAAAAAAGTTTGATATTATGTAATTCTTCCCAGTAGTTTTATGTCCGTGTTTTCTAACGACAACAAATGGTTACAACTTTGGTATAGACCACAACCTGGATACCTGGAGGTGTCATCTCTGACTCAGAGGTTGACGTGTAATGATCCTCCATCTTTCACGGTCGCGACCACAACATCTTAGACTAATGATACAGCCTACATGTTGATACTTACTGAAGAGTGTTGAAAACCTTACGCTTTACGTCACACTGTAAAAAATGTCCCCACGGATTTAACGTGTCAAGCAATAATTTGTTTTCCTTGGAAGCCTTTGATCACTATAATAATAATATTGTATGTTTCAATACTCAGTGTATTCTGTGTGCTATTCAGTTATTTCTTTTGTTGTTTTTTTTGGTCATGTAAAAAGATAAACTCTTTTTAAATGTATTTTATGGAATTTTATTTTTGCTGTTATATAAGTATTTATGTGCTTTGTTAAGCGTGCACTGTTTCCGGGAAAGGGGCAGACTGAGGAAGGAAAGGTGGTGAGAATGAAATCAGGGAAATTCTGGCTTCGGATATTATATTATTATATTGTGACCTTTTTTTCTCCGTGTGTGTGTGGGTTTTTGGGTTTTTTTTGCTGTTTCTCTTATTCTGTCCATTTCTGTCTAGGCCTACTGGATGACGCTTTTTGCTAGTTGTTCCAACAAAATGTGCAGCTTTTTGAATTTTACAGTTGAATATTAGTGAAAACAAACGAGTGAAATGCTGTGTACCGGTTAATTATTTTTTTTAATTCTCTACACCCCCCCCCCTTGATTCTCTTTTTCCCCCTTTGAAATGTTACTTTATTTGTTATACTTTTCTTTTCCGATCCAGCGATCATCTGAATTCTTGGCCTTCGGCCTGTCTCGATATGGCAAAGAATTTACAGGTTTTAATCAGTTTGTCACTGTATAGAGTATTTCCGATGTCTGGGGAAGCAGGTAGGTAGGTGCTACGCAGGCTGCAAAGTGCAGGGCAGGTAAAGAGGTGGTGTGATGGTGTTTCATCCTAGCAGTCGCACAACGGACAGTCGGGTGGGGTATCCTTGCAGGTTCCTGTTTAGGTAGGAATTCAGTGGGATGTGTTATGTTCGCAGGCGAATGATAGTGACTTGTTCTCTTCTACTCGGGGAATTTAGTGCATCTTTTGAGACGGGAGCAGTCTAGTCATGTTCGTGTGCATTGTGAACTTTATTTTTATAACGTTTATCACATGGAGATGGTTACAGCAACTGATTAATTAATTATTCTAAGTGAATATTGTTAGTCTTGCATTCCCTTGCTGTTTCAAGTCACCAAGCCTCATACTACGCTGGTGACATTGTTAGTGTTGGTACCTAAACTACTGCGGGCCTGGTTTCTATTTTATTTACTAATATTCACCAATCTTATCTGATGCTCTCATCTAGTTACTTCAGCTTCCTAAAATAGTTCTTTAAAAACGTTTATTATACTTTTTTAACACTCTGTGTGTATGTGTGTTAGTTTCAGTAAGAGATTTACAGCATTTGCAGCATAAACAGGCCATATTATGAGTGCCGATGATGAGAGGCATGACAGGAGACTGCCACACAAAGAAAGGGAGAAGAGATAAGGACAATAGATGTTTTATAGGAAAGGAGGGGTTAACTACTCCAGAGTACCCGCCAACCATCCACCTTGTGCATGTATGAGGAGTTGATTTTTTGGTTTGAAAAATGTGGGAAAATATTTATAAGTAGTGTCCCCTGCTGCCCACCCAGCAGTGATGGGTACCTGACTTCGATTTGGGGAAGTAAAGGCAGCGTGGAAAGGAACTGGCCACCCTACCACCATATTATGCCAATGGCCCAGGAATTTGTCTCACTTACAAGGCAATCCCCAATGTCCGTATCGGGAGCGGGAACAACTTTTCGTGGAGGAATCAGGCTCTCGTCAATTTTTGGACATGTAGAGTTATTGGTACATGTATCATTGTAAAGCTTGTTCACTTGTGTTTATCTGGATGAATAAAATATCCATTTATCCTGAATACACGTTGAGATATTTGCGAACGAAGGAGGTGGGGGTCACCTGTTTTCAGAGGTAAAATTAGTGAGAAAAAACCGCCAAAGATTAGTTATTTCCTTAGCTTAAAAGTCCGCGGTAACTGAAAATTTACTTTTTTTGTGCCTTTAATCAACGTTTTTCAGAAAAATTCACACAGAAATGAGTTCTTTAATGGGCATGAAAAGTGTTGACCCCAAAAACAAAAACTTGATAAAATTCACAAACCTACAGAAAAAAGCAAGTTTCACTTTGACTATTTTGACAAGAGCCTGATTCCACCACGCTGCCTCACTTTCAGCGTCAGGAGCTGTTCTTTCACTAGACAAGAGCGACGGCGCCAGTCACTTTTTGTCGGCTGGGTGATAGACAAGACACTGATTTAGTTTAGTTTCGTAATACCGGGTGCCGTTAGCACGATCGGATCGGATCAGGTCGGATAGGGTCGGATTGGGTCGGTTTGCTAGTCAGAAAGAAAAGAGGTCGGCGGTAAAAACCAAGGATAATCCATGTGGTGTTTAGTGGTTTGTTTTTTCTTATATGTGAGGCAGCGTGGTGGAATCAGGCTCTCGTCACTTTTGGGTATATTGAGTTATTGATATCATCTTAAAGCTTGTTCATTTGTCTTGCTTTCAATGAAACAATTACCCATCCATCTTCAATAGAAGTGGAGATATTATTTTGGATTGAAGGAGGTGGGGGTCATCTGATTTAAGAGGTAAAACTAGCGAGAAAAATGGCCGCCAAAGCTTGGTAAATTCCAAAGCTGGAGAGTCCATGGAAACTGAAATTATTTTTTTTTTTGTGCCTTTAATCAACGTTTCCGGTGAAATCCTCAAAGGAATGTGTTTGTAAATGGATATAAAAGGTGTTGACCCAAAAAACAAAAAGTTGATATAAATTGCTAAGCAGGGGAAAAACTGCTGTTTTCTTCGATTTCATTATTTGGACGAGAGCCTGATTCCACCACGCTGCCTGACATATGGTTTCGAAAATTCAGGCGTCAGCAGAAAACAGGAAATCAGAATCAACAATAACAAGTTGGTCAAAATCAACTTTAATGTCGAAACTTTTTGCAGGAAGTAACACACAATATCAGAGCAGCTAGTCTTCACACCAGGTAGTGTCATAATAAAGTGGACGAATTAATTAAATGATTTAGTTATTGAAATGAACCTCAATGATATTTTAATTTTTATGTAGATCTATCACAGAATCATGGTTGCAGGAGTAAGGTGGTGATGCTATTTTATCAGCAATGTGCCACGTTGATAATTGAATTCTTTCCCCCGAGTTCAGCGCAGAGGAGGAGGAGGAGTAGAGTATATTAATAGAACTAATTTAGCACAAGTTGATGTGACAAAGATCCCCTGTGAAGCGTGCTGACAAAATAAGTTACTTCTCGGATTCAAGCCTTAA